TACAGTGAATGGGCAGCTCAGAGAAAGCCACTGGCTAAGAGACATTGGATTGTAGGTTTAATTCCCTGTTGGTGTTTTGGAGCTATTGGGTATTGGGAAACACATGGGAAAGTTGAAGGATTTTTGAGGTGAATCAGCACAGGAGCAGCATGAGTAGCATGGGTAGGAGTGGAGGTGTCCCAAACGATAGGACTGACAAGAGAAGGCAGAAGGGGAGGGGAAGAACTGGTGACACGTGGTGCTTGAATTTCAAGAATGAGAGTCATGGGAAGAGAGATGGTGAAAGAGAAGTTAAGCTTTTGGAGGCGATCCCTACCCAAGAGGGCTGTGGGACAAGTTGGAATGACAAGGAAATCACCGGTGAAGAAGAGAATCTGGAATCTGCAGAGGATGGGTCCTGTCTGGAGGGTTGTGAGGCTGGCTGTCAACACCCACAATGGAAATCATGGATCGGATACAGAGACCCGAGAACTCAGGTAGAACATTATATGTAGCCCCTCTGTCAACAAGAAAAGAGAGTGTCTTACCTGAGATATCCAGCAAGGCTCAGGGCTCTGAGAAAGATACCTTGATGGGGTTGTGGCCCCAGAGTCCCGTCAATCCTCTTCAGCAGCAAGACTGAGCAGGCCAGCTAATGATGAGTCCAGTGGAGGTGATTAGATCTTCTGTGAGGGTAGGGAGTTAGATGACTTACCCGGTAGCTGGCAGACAGGACTTCCAGTGACCCTCAAGACTGCAGATGGGATAAGGTTGTAGCTGTGGGTTGGGGCAGTGCCCGATATCCTTCTTTTCCACACTTAAAGCATGGTCTAGGAGAGGCTCAGGTAGCACCACTCGGCTTAGGCTGTTTTTTCAGAAACCCCAAGAGCTGCAGCCAAAGTTGGCATGTAAGTTTGGCATGTTGTTGTCTGTTCTATTTCTGTTGTTCTTCTCCATTATTGAAGACATGGAAGGCCAGATTAAGGAGATCTCCCTGTGGGGTTTGAGGGCCAGACTCTGTCTTTTATAATGTGACCCAAATGTCTGGGGCAGATTGGGAGATGAAATGGGAGTTAATAAGGGTTATTTGCTCAGGGGTTTAAGGATCCAGATTAGTGTATTTGGTTAGGGTATCAGTAAAGCGTGTAAGAAATTCAGGAGGATTTTCATCAGTGTGTTGGGTTTATTCCTGAAGTTTTTGATAATTAGTTTACTTGTGGGAAAGTTTGTTTAGACCTGCAGTAATGCAACCAATCGTTGTAGCCATGCACCACGAGCCATTATTTCCCTGATAATCCTAGTAGGGGTCCACATTTGGTACAGCAGCAGCCAAAGTAGGATGGTTAAGATTAGTCTGGTGTCTTTGGTCAGCTTCGGCTTGTGCTGCTTCCCACAGCTGAATTTTTTGTTGAGTGGAGAGGGTGGATGCAAGGATGATATAGAGGTCTTTGTAAAGTAAATAATAGGAATTAATCACAAATTGTAACTCTTTGATATAGTTGTGGGAGACTGTAGAGAAAGAGCCTCATTTGTGAGAGATTTGAGAAAGATCAGAGCAGGTAAAAGAGATGTGTATGCAAACTAGCCCCTCTGGGCCAGCCTGTTCAATGAAAGGAAGGAGGGGTTGGCGCTCAGGAGATGTCAGCTGACTACAAGATAGCTATTGACGGTAGGAAGATGATGGCTCATCAAAAGAAGATGGTGGCTGGCCGGAAGAAGATGGAGGTCGGCTACAAGGTGGTGGGGGGTGGGAGCAGTGAGACTGGGCATGGTGCGCTGGGGAGAAAATGGCAATGGAGGGGTGGAGGAGGGTTAAGAAAATGGCAGATGGCCAGAAGGAGGTGACAGTGGGTGAGAAGATGGTGACGAGTGGGAGGAATGAGATTGGGTATGGTGTGTTGGGGAACAAAATGGTGACAGAGGAGTGGGGGAGGAGGAAATGGTGGAGGATAGGGGAGGGGAGGCCGATGGTGAGAGAGGGTGAGGAAGTGGTTGAGGATAAGGTGGGGGAGGCACATGGACAGAAGGAATATCATCCAGCAGTTTGAGAGGAGTATCTGGGGGAGGGATTTTGAGGTGGGGAGTGGGCCAGTAACACCTGGGAGGCTTCACACCCTGAAGGAGAGAGGGACGCACCCTACGGGCAAAGAAGCCTAGTATGTAAGTTATTTCTGACCATTTGCTGTTGCGGTAGCAGACACTGTCTAGGTTAGGGAGGATATTAAAATCAAAAATACCTTCCTTGGGCCAGTGGCTTCCATTATCAAGTGTGTACTGAGGCCAAGCTGTCTGGCAGTAAAAAGTATTTGTTTTGGTTTGACAGTCTCTCTGAGACCCGGGGTGTTTAAGTTTCTTAAGAGACCCTTGAGCGGAGTGTATTTTGGGGGCTGGGAAGAAGCGATTCCCATAGTGATCTGATTGTTCTTGCTTCTGTTTACGTGATGTATTAAATTTATTGATTTATATATGTTAAAAAGGTGAAAGATTTATATGATCTGAAGAGAAACCAGAGTATTGATTTGTATATGTTAAACCATTCTTGCATCCCTGGGATGAATCTTGACTTGGTGTGTGATCTATTTTTTTACGATTTGTTGCATTCTGTTTGCCAGTATCTTGAGGATTTTTGTGTCTATGTTCCTTAAAGAGATTGGCCTGCAGTTTTATTTTTCAGTTGTTTTTTTTCTGATTTTGGCATGAGTATAATGCTGGCCTCCAGGAAAGACTTGGAGTAGTTCTTCCCTTTCGGTTTCATGAAAGATATGGTGTATATAAGAAACACATTTAATCCAAAAAGAAATTCAGATTAAAAATCAAAGAATGGAAGATAATATTCCATATAATGGAACTCTCCATTAAAGCAGGAGTAGCTACCTAATTTCAGATATAAGGACTTCAAAGCCAAAAGTAAATAGAAGAGGCAAATAAAGTCAGTACATATTATTTAAGGCAGCAATTCAACAGGAAGAGATAGGAATTAGAAACATATAGGCACTAAACGTCAATGTGCCCACTTCATAAAACAAACTCTATACTGAAATGATCAGATAAAGACCAACACATTATAAGTGGGGGGCCTTAATACCCCACTGTCACAAGTAGATCAACTAGACACAACATTTAAAAACTTTAAGTTAGCAAAGGAGCAAAGATTCAAAACTATATTGGGAATTAAAGTCACCATATTTCCCTCACATTTGATTTTACTTCCAGTAAGTTAGATGACAAGGAACAATATTTATTTGTGCTAAAAGGCTATCAAAGTGCACAGGAAGCACCAATGACCTTTAGTGGAATTTTAAAGGAAATGTATCCCACCTTCTTTTTACATTTGATTTTGGCCAAAAGGCCAAGAAGCAATGCCATCTTTTTTTTTTTTTAAACTAGATTTAATACTCAGTGTACTGGACATTAGAAAAAAGTATTTTATAGTTAGGTTCATTTTTCTTCTCAAATTTGTTCCTTTAAGGAATTCCTGCTGTGATTGTTTTTCTGAAAATGTCCCAATTCAAGCACTCAATCCAAAATTATTTTAGATAGGTGTGGTTGATTTACTTTTTTTGGAACCCGGAGCTGTAGAGAATGGGGCGCTTTCTGAATATCCCATTGACTTAACTACTTCTGGGTGTGTGTACTACCATGTGTTTTATGTTACATACTTAAGGAGTTCTGCACTTCATTAAATGGAACCATAAGCTTGTTGGTGACAAAAAGAATGTTTAAATGGGAGAATTAGGAAAATATGAATGAGGAGATGGTTGGCTTGATGGTATCAAGTATTTAAAAGTCACAAACATTACTTTAAAAACACTATACAAACTTCTTAGAAAATATAAAGTGAGTTTATTTTACCTCTTACACAATGTTGCTCAATCCAAAAAGATTTCCTTGAACTGAAAACAGAGCTTTAGCTCCTGAAAATGGCAACTTTTAATGAAAGTGCGATTTCTATTTAAGTAGGTGAATTCTGGGGGAAAAGCCTATATCTTTGTTATAAAATACAGCTTGGCCATACCTTTCTTATATTAGGATTTCATTGAACTCCTTGGATCTAAGGGTTTACAGTTTTCATGAAATCTGGAAAATTTTAGGCCGTTTTAAAAGTGTTCTTTCAGTTTTCTCTTCCACAGGGATTCTAATTACATGTATATTAGCAGCCCTGAATAGTCATCCAGTTACATGATGCTCTACTTATTTATATTTCCTTACCTTTTTTCTGTTTCATCATTTTAGACAGTTTTTATTGCTCCATCTTTAAAGTTACTGATCTTTTCTTCTGTAATGTCTGCGATGCTGTTTATCCCATGCAGTATGGTTTTCATATCAAGAATTTTCTTTATTATTAGAACTTCAAATGAGAATACTGTAAATCTTCCACATTTGTCCCTAATATGCTCAGTGTTTTTCTCTTCTTGAACATATGGAGCATAGATATAAATTTTTCCATATCCATTGTATTCTAGAATGAACATATAAAATTGAACATCTTACCTATTTGAAGTGTACAGTCCAGTAGTATTAAATTCACTCCTAATGTGCAACCGTCACCACCTCGCTCCTCCCTAAATCTTTTCACCTTGTAAAACTGAGAGCCTAGACCCATTACACATCGTCCATTTCCCCACCGTCCCTGGCTTTTCCCTCCAGTCCCTGGCAACCACCACTCTACTGCTGTCTGAAGTCATAACATTTTCGTGTCCTTATTAATTCTACTGTTTATGTCATTTCTTGGTCTATTTCTATTAATTGATTGCTGTAGTCATTCTGGATTGCATTTCCTGCTTCTCTGCATGTCTAGTAATATTTGACTGGGATCCCAGAACTGTGAAGTTCATTTCATTGGGTATAATTTTGTGTTCCTATAATTTTATGGAGGAACCTGATCTTCCCAAGGTCACTGTGATGCTGAAGAGGCTCTGCCTAGTGTTCCTGGGCCGGGTGGTGCTGCACCCTGGGGACTCCAGGCCCGTGTGGGTCTCAGTGACTACTGCTTGCTCAGATGCTTCTTCTCCTGGCTGCAGGTGGTTTCCTCGTGCACAAGTGACCCTCAGCGTGCTCTCTGAAACCTTCCAGGACACCCTTCCTGCAGCTGTCCTCTCTGTGTCTCTGCCAAGTGAGCTTACGCTGCCCTGGCCTCTCCAGATACTTGGATCCTTCTCCTCAAAGCTCAGGAGACTGCTGAGCTCTTTTGAGGGTGTTGGTGCATGAGAACCCCCTCCAGGCAGCTGTGGGGGCAAGGAAAGGACCCCTCACTCACTTCCTGCTTCTCAGGGGTCACCATTCTGCACTGCCTAAGGTCTACTACAGAAAGGTCATTCTTCTTGTTTTTTGTTTCAGGAGGGGTAATGGATACAGTGAAGTCCTCTGAAAAAGCAGTTTTTAAGGCATTCTTGTGCAGTAATTTAAGTCCAAAGATCCAAATTTCTTGCAGATTCCCCTGCTCTCCTGAACTTGCAATCATATCTATAATTTTACCTGGCAAGCTCATAAAGCGGGGTGAAGTCGATATTTTAATGAATATGAAGGATAGCATTGTAGTAAAGGAAAATGAGACTTCTCTTTAGATTAGATAAAAGTTTTAAAATTAGCATAGTTCTTTACCACTAGAAAAGAGCTATGAGAATGAAAAGGGTTTATTGTGGCTCATTAATTTGGTTTTAATGTTACACTACTCAGAATTTCCTAATTTGGGCAAGTATTTTAATGTATTACTTTTTGATGCTGAGGATCGAACCCAGGGCCTTCACCTGTGCTGAGCTCAGTGAGTATACCTTCAGCCTAGGAAATACTGTTTAGTATATATACAACAATTTATTTTTGTTGGTGTTATATAAAGAACAATTAAGAAAAAATTTACACATATACCTAGAATAACTCTTTGAAAAAGTTTTGTTGAAATGAGTGGCTTGATAAGTAGAGAAAAAAGCTTATTAGAAATAAAATTATTATTTCTCAAACCAATAAAATATGTTAAGGAAAATGGAAAATTGTTTCAATTTTTTGTCTTATAGCTACCAGGAGGAGAATACTTTTAAATCCTGACTTTCCCGAAATATCTAAATTTTCAGTATAATCAAAATTTAATATTTAGAAATGACATATAACTACCACATGTACTATGTTATGAAGCAATAGTATTGTAAAATTAGGATTTACTTTTTAAGTACAATTTAAATGATTTTAATTTCTAAAAAAATGACAATTTTTATTACATAAAACTCTTTTATTCTAAATAGTTTATTTGTGATGCCAGACACAATCTCAGACAATCTAGGATCCATCTCAATGCTGTTTGTTATCAGTATGCTTCACACTGAAATATTTTGAAGAACTCAAAAAATGTACATTGAAACTCAGCTATTTGCTTTTATATATTAGCTCTTGGCTCTCAGTGAACCAAATGCATGTTTAATTTATTGCGAAGAGATAAAGAATGCTTCCTTTAGCAGTTCTGGGCCATATTTTAAAATAAGGGAACATTAAATTTGTTTTTATTTTGCAGGAATTTATCTTAAAATGTTCCAAGAGTCTTTTCAATGCATTTAGCTCACTGGCGACTAAACTAAGCAGTAACAGAGAAATCGCTCATACGTTCTATCTGTTCTCCTTTGAGGGAAAATGGGTTAGGGATCTCCTATAATACGCCTTCCATTTTTAGCATGAAAAGAGCAAGAAAGTTCCCATAAGCAGCCTGCACTAAGTGCGGAAATAAGATTCTATGGTTTAGCACTGGCATCATTAGATGCTACTCAGTGCTCTAGCAATCTTCAGTGGTTCCGGCTGAAGTGTGGCAGATAGGAAAGGTAAGTGCAAGTGAGAATGTTCGGCTCCAGTCCAGCTCCAACCACAGAGACATACGTGAGGCACTGCACCCGTGGTGAGCTGGACTCGTCACTGTGGTCCAGCAGCCCACTTGGGAACGAGGAGGCTGTGGTGTGCCTCTCAAGTGCAGGACGCGGCCACCGTGGCCCTTCTCATTGGTTCTCCGTCTCCCTCCCCGCCAGCAGAGGATTAGAAGTTGTGCCACTAGAAAGAACAGTGATGGCAAATCTTTTAGAGATGAATGCCCAAACTGCAACCCAAAACCCACTTACTTATCATGAAGCGCAAACAATGTGATTAAACCTGAACATCCGATGCTCAGCTGCTGGGGTGGCTCAGCTCTTACGCTGATAGAGAGGGCTCTGTGCCTTCCGTGGCATGCGTGCCATAGGTTCCCCACCACTGCACGAGAGCATTCCAGGCGACGTGCAAACGTTCCCCTTAGCAACGGTGTCCTCAACACCAGCCTTCCCGCACGCGTTCCACCTCTGAACCCCAGCAGAAAAATGCTTGCCAGGTCCACTCCATGTACCAATGCTCTTAAGCTGGTTCTCTTCAGCACAGAAAGTCAGAAATGGTTGGTTACATAGAAGCTCCTCTGAGGAGGCTCTCAGGAGGTGCCCCTGGGAGAAGAGAGGGCAGGTAGGACGCTGATCACAGTGCGGCTGCCACTCATGCTTCAGCCCGTCCCACAGAAAGCTCCGAGGCTGGCTGGCTTTAAGGCTTCTTCAGACTGCAAAGTAGCAGGCCCTTATAAACTTCCGTCAGCCTGGAGCGGGTATAATCTTGGGCAAGGTAGTTCTCAGGGCTAGGGATCATTCCAGGAGGAGTGCAATGGCGGGTGGTCTTAGCAGCTGGGCCACGGATGCCTCACTTTAAAGAGAGGACCTGGCTGCAGCATCCACTACAGTGGAGCTTAAAAATGTCTTCATTCTCCCTTAGGCAGGAAATCATTTTCCTATGTGCCAATGATGAAACACTGGACTTGGAAATTAAAAACACAGTACATTTACATTAGTATCTCTCGAAATTCAGTACAAACCTAACAAAATATTTATAAGATCTATCTGAGGAAAACTGCAAAACTCTGATGAAAGAAATCAAGGGAAAACTCTAAAAATAGAGAAATGTCCTCCTTTCATGGACAGGAAGATCCAGTATTGCCAAGATGGAGAGATATCCCATGGATACAAAGTCTTAGTGTTATCAAGATGAGTTTTTTTTTCCCCAATTTATTCTATAGTCAATACATTCCCAAATAAAACCTCAGCAAGTTATTTTATGGGCACTGAAAATTATTCTAAAGCATAGATAGAACGGCAAAGAACACAGAAAAGCTAATGAAATGACTGAAGAACAAAGAGCAGTGTAATATTTCAGACCTACTACAAAACTGCATTAATGAGAAAAGTGTGGTACTGGCAAAGGGACAGACCATCACACCCACGGAACAGAGCGTAAGGCCCCAGAATAGGCCTACATGAACGTGTTTCAGTGACCTTTGACAAAGGAGCAAGTATGACGTAATGGAGAACAGACAGTCCTTTTAAAGAAGTCTGGACCCCGGCCCTGCCAAAAGAAAACCCGTACAGGGCTTATACCCTTCAAAAAACTAAGGAAATGTGGACCGTAGTGTCAAGTGCAACATGAAAAACTGTAGAATTAGAAAACAACCCAGGAGACAATCTTAGATAAGACAAAAACTTTTAAGAACGCAACACCAAAGGCACAATCTATGAGAGAATCATTGACAAATTGAACTTCATTAAAATTCAAAACTTCTGCTCCACTTTAAAAGTGTGCAACAAGAATCCTAGTCAAAAATGTTTGTAAAGATACATCTGAGAAAGTGCTGTTGTCCAACACGTACACGGAACCTGTAAGACTCAACAGTAAAAAAAAAAAAACAGATGACACAATTTAAAAAAAGACAAAAGACCTGGACAGGACTTCACCAAAGAAGGTAAACAGGTGATAAATAAACACATGAAGAGATATGCAACATCATATATCATTGCACAATTGCATATTAAGGCAACAATATGATCCTGTTATCTACTATACATTCATTAAGATGGCTAAAACCGCAAATGTTGACAACACTCAATGCTGGTGAGGATGTGGAGCAAGAGGAACTCTTACTCACTGTTCATGGGAATGAAAAATTGAAGGCTATTTTGGAAGACAGTTTAGGAGTTTCTTTAAAAATTTAACCTACTTTTATTGTGCAATTTTGCAGTAAAGCTTCTTGGTATTTATGTGAGTTGAAAATTCATCTCCTCCCCCAGAGATCTCAGGGGTGTTTATAGCAGTGTGGATCATAATTGCTAAAACTCAGAAGCAACCAAGATGTCTTTCAGTTGGTGAATGGGTAAATAAACTGTGGTCCTCCCAGACAATGGAAGATTATTAAGTGCTGAAAATAAATTAGCTATCGAATAATTAAAAGACATGGAGGAAACTTAAATGACTACTACCAAATGGAAGGCGCCATCTGAAAAGACTACATGCTGTATGGTTCCAACACATGCCAGTCTGGGAGAGGCAAAACTATGGTGGCAGGAAAAGGATCAGTAGCTGGCATGGGCTGTGGGGGAAGGGGTGAGTGGGGAGGGTGTGTAAGGTGGCGACACTGTTCTGTGTGACGTTGTGATGGGAGGTACATGTCACTACGCATTGGTCCAAGCTCACAGAATGCACAGCATCAGGAGTGAACCCTGGCATAACTGTGGACCCTGAGTGATTGTGAGGTGGCAGGTTCACCAACTGTCATAAATGTGCCACCTCGAGGAAGTCGTGTGTGCTGGGACAGACAGTAAACGAGAATCGTCTGCACTTTCTATTCGGTCTGCTGTGAACCCAAAACTGCTCTGAAAAATATATAAAAACAAAGGTTTTAAAGCCTAATATTGACTTAATCATTCTTTTATAAGTCTTTACTATATAGCATTATAATTTTCCAAATGATAAATTTTGTGTTCTGTCTGAGCAGCTTCATTAAGAGACAGAAGAATGGAATGAAGTCTAAAATTAGCAAAAAATGTAACTCTAAGCTACAGTCACTGTGTTTTAAAGAGCTTTGCTAGAAATATTTCACCTAATATAAACCATGTACTTTTTAGATAATACCAACACTAGTACAAAATTTATACCATGAGAACCAAAGTAAATGTGAAATATTTTTCTTTTCCTTATTTGGCTAATTGGATGGACATCTGATGGACCTACACAATTCTATTGCATTTCTCTAATGAGCCAGTCATTATGTAAAACACTGACCAGTGGAAAAACTCAGGTGTTAGTTTAAGTACTTAGAATACAGACAAGAGTTTTATAACAGTATCGTAGAGCTACAGACACGTAGGCCAGGGGCCCTGTGTGGGTGCAGTGACAAGGTGAGAGGTACGTGCCGTGGGAGACAAGGTGCCAGCTTCTTGTCACGGAGCGCAGCCTGGAGAGTGGTGAACTCTGCAGAGAACAAGCAAGCCATGCACTCACTCTAGGTTATTCAAATTAAATGCCGGGCTTACTTTACAATAGATTCAGCCTTCTAAAAATTTGTTTCACGACGCTCCCTCCCCATGCACACACAGCCATGGTTGCTACACATCCACAGATATGTCCACATCCACAGATGAGCACGCACGTGCACAGGTGCACCCTCAAGTCCACATGCACACTCACAAAGGCGCACACTCACCCACACACGCACACTCACACACATGCACACACCCACCCACCCACGCACACCCACCCACGCACGCATACACACATGTGCACACCCCACCCACACATGTATACACTCATACACACACCCACACGTACACACCCACCCATGCACACACACCCACGCACGCATACACCCACCCATGCATGTATACGCACACACACACACACACACATGCACAAT